TCTTTTTGTGGACAGCCTGATATTTATCTGCACGGTAGAGTAATATGCGGTTTATTTGTGATCTTGGTGATGAATTTATCATTGCCATGAGTATTGGATTAAAGGAAAGTATTTACAGGTAGAATGATAAAATAATAAGGGACAAAGATGAGGAGAAATTTGTGATATGAAAACAACTGTCCTAGACGAGGTGGTGGACCTGGGGAAGAACAATGTTAGAACTCTCAGCCTCTCAGTCCTTGACTTCTGAGTCTTGTGAGAAACAAAGCTCTCAGCCACTTACATTAACTGATAGTTTCCGTTATTCCCTTCCAAATGAGAGCATCACCTGTTTCCTGAGTTGGCTCTACCTAGGGTTTGTTCATAAAGGACTGAATGCTGGCACAGAATATGGTACAGAGTCTCTTCTGAGGACTGTATTTGCAAGCTGTGGTATGAGTTTGGCAGGGACATTCAGCTGACAATCGATCACTGACCATGTCTTTTTGTTGAAGAATTTCTTAATTCTGTAAGCACAGCATAAACTGAAATGCTTTGTTCTAGTCCTGTTGATACCAGAAAGCAGTAATATGTCCTTTTTTTTTTTTTTAGGACTACAGCTCATCTTTTCTCTCTGTCTTTTCCTCTTGACTGTTATGACAAATCTTTCTGCCAAAAGCCTCCAAGCCCTACCGCCACATGGGCGGTCTCTGCCAGACCCCTGAGTTCTGCCCACCACATGGATTGACAAAATAATACAAAGACTTCTATTAGGTACAAATGCTGCTAGGATTCTCCTCTGTTAGCTCAGTCTTAATTATCATAAATCTATATATTTTATGAGACTTATCTGATGCCTTCCATTGGCATCCCTCCTTGCTGGTGGATCTCATCCTGCCTCTGGAGAAAAAGCAGAGGGGGAAAAAAGGGACACTTCCTGTTTCTCCTTGCTTAAATATGAGTCTCCTTGCTATGTCACTTCCTGCCTGGATCACCACTTCTCTACTACATTTCCCAGAATCCTCTTTGACTCCTAGTCCTGTCTAACTTGCTGTCTTATTGACCAAACAGTACTTTACTCAATATTCAATAAGATGAACATACACAGTACATTCCCCATCACTTGACCAGATGATTGGAATCTGTTTAACTTTGAGATCAAGACAACCTGAAAAAGAAGAAAACAGAAGATTGAGTGTGGACCAAATAGGGTATGGGCAAAGGAAGTCATGAATGTACAGGCAGCAATCTCAGGATAAGAGCTGTCCTTGTCTCCCGATGACCCACCTGCTCCAGGAGACAGGGAACTGTGCAGCAGAGGAGCCTTGCAGCTGTGATGCCTTAGAGATAAGAAAAGGATGAGCAGCTTCCCTGTGGTGTTCTCCACACAGGCTCACAATTGTCAAGTACCTGATCATTTACACAATGTTAGCAAATATGGCTGCATATCCTATACTTTGCAGAATATTTTATGTTGACTTCTAAAATGTACAATAATCTATATTTTAAGTCATACAACAAATATCAAAATAAAACAGTATACTGCTAACAATGTCATTGTTGGTGATACTCTTTGTTCTCTCTCTCTCTCTCTCTCTCTCTCTCTCTCTCTCTCTCTCTGTCTCTCTCAGCCATGCTAGACTCTAAATTGTGATCCTCTGTCCTCCATACGCCCATTGCATGCTCATTGCAAGGATTACAGACATTGGATAACACACTTCATATTTTTTCTTTTATTTGTGCAGTTTTTCTATTGAAAACTTCATTTATTGCTTCTTAACTTCTTGCCTGCATTTTATGATAAAAACCAATGATGTCTTGGGAAAGGGCACTGTAAAACTGCCTTGATCCAGATAACCAGACCATTTCATGAGGAGATATGAGGCTAAAGGGGGACCCTGATGTATTTTTAAGTGAGATTTCAGATTATACAGTAATTTTCAAGCTCTCTCTGGTGTCATGTCAATAAAGAAAACAAAATAATGTAAAGTATCCCTCCAAGTATCAATAATCATGACTCTGGCGCCACAATGCAATAATGTGATTACAAAGTCACATGAGGATGGCATGAAATGCTCCATATGAGTGTTTTCAAGGCTGGCAGAAGACTGGGGGGGGATGTGTTTTTTTCCAGAAAAAGAGGATGCGTCATTAGAAGAGAGACTGTACAACCTACAGAAGCAGGGCTTTGCCCACTTTATGCTTAGCAGAGAATGGAGTGCCAGAGCTGCACCAATAATGAACTACCAACTGAATGACAGATGGGCCAGAGAGGGGTTCTCCTCAAGAAGATGATGACTGCATCATCAAAACCTGTTTCTTTCTCTTGAGCATTAAACTCAAACTCGGGCGGTCGAGCAGGTGATTAGCAGCTAAGGGCTCATGGTTCCAGGAGAGGACACAAATTCATAGTCCAGTGTTCACATCAGGTGGCTCATAACTGTAGCTCAAGCTCCAGGAGATTTGACTCCCTCTTCTGAACTCCATGGGCATCTGCGTTGAAATTTTTACACACACACACACAAACACACTGTTTTCAAAAAACCAAACCTCAAGTACAAATTTAAAAAAAAAAAGATACTAAACATCAATGGAATAGAAGGATGCCGAGGGAAGTTGTGATCTTCAGTGACCTTTTATTTTTGGTTTTTCAACACAGAGTTTCTCTGTGGCTTTGGAGGCTGTCCTGGAACTAGCTCTTGTCGACTGGGCTGGTCTCGAACTCACAGAGATCCGCCTGCCTCTGCCTCCCGAGTGGCTTGCGCCACCACCTGGCTACAGTGACTTTATTTTAGCCATGAGCACTGTGTGAGAGGAGAGAGATGGCAGGTTTAGTCACAGACAAGCATGAGGCGGGGAACAGGAGAGCAATGTGGTATGAAGAGCAGCTGTCTCAAACCTGGCCTAGAGGTCTGTTTCAGAGACGTCAGCCTGTTCCTCGAGTGCCTCTAAACATCCTCATTCATCTTTGTGAAATCTGCTGCGGTTGGTGCCAGCTCTGGTAAATTTCTGTTACTCTCTTCCAGAGTCTGGCATCACCTGCTTCCTGAGATCTGCCCACAGTGGGGTTTGTGCAAAGAGGAGAATGCACAATTCAGTGCTGTGGACAGACTGCTGGCACAGAGGTACAGGGCTGAGTCTCCTGCTTCAGAGGACAGGATGTCCAGGCTGCATGGTGAGTTTGAGCGACACTTAGCAGAGAATCGCTTCTTGACGGAGTCCGTTTGTTCAATAATTTCTTCATTCCGAAAGTAAATCAAAAGTTTGAGTTCTCCATTTTGGTTCTGTTGATACCAGTAAAAGACAGTATGCCCTTTTTCAGGGTTACAGCTCATATTTGCTACCTGTCCTTTCGCTTTGAACAGATATCTTGGAGTCTGGGTTACTTCGGCATCACAAGAGCCTAGAGGAGGAGAAGACAGAAAATGAGAACAGCCTAGGGGAGACTCTGACAAGGTAGAAGATTCAGATCTGTAGTTTGGAGTATGAAGACAAAGCCTTTTTTTTTATTAATTACTCACCTGCCCCAAGGAGACAAAGTGCTACCCAGCAGAGCAGCTTTGCACCCATGGCCACACTAGGGCAAGCAGAGGGTGCACTGTTTTCATGTTCCATCGGCAACCTTCCTGTGACGTGATCCTCTGCAGACTCAACTATGTTTCTGTTCCGTGCTCCCACTGAGGAAGTTCTTAGCATCAGAAGGAAAGCTTTCCCTCACCTTCATAAATATACCTCATTGGCTAATCACGCAAAAGAGTTTATGTGTATTTTACTAACATAAACATTCATAGTTAGTGAAGTCATGAAATTATAGGAATATCAGAATTAAAACATACTACTGCTAGATAATGTTTGCACTGTGTATGTATATATATATATATATATATATATATATATATATATATATATATATGGATGGATGTGTTACCTTGATCATATCCTTGCCATTGTCTCTACTTGATTTCCATTTCCAATGAACCCCTTTTCCTTCCCAATTCTCCCTTCTATTTCTTAATACATTCGTGATTCTCTCTCTCATCCCCCATTGTTGTGATTACAGGCTCAAACCACCACAGCAGCTTTCTCTCACTCTCATCTCTGCACATATTAATACACTAAAATATCTTCCATTATTGTTTCCTCTTAAGTTATTGACATTACTTATTTATTCTTCAGTATCCATCTGCATCTTTACCATGAAACTGATGATGCCTTGGGATAGAACAAGAGGGATTGCAGAACATGGTGAGACTCCTGTCAGTGGCTTAATCTGATCACTGGATAATGCCAGAGGGGGAGATGAAGATGTAAGAGAAAGGCTTGCATGCTTCACTATGGGACTAGAACATACAGCAGTTGGGAATATTCTTGAGGTTCCAACACTCATATGCCAGGACATGTAATACTATGAAGTTATCATCACTGTCTATGATGTGCTATATATGAGGGTTTCAATACTGGAGGGAAGCTTTGGACAATTTATTTCCTTTCTGGGAAAAAAAGTAGATTTTGAATATTTTCTTTCATTTACAATGGACAGACTAGATGAGCACACAGGAACATGAAGTGTTTTATTCAAGTTGATCTCAGGGGAAATGCAAGCAGCAACATTGTATTATGTGATCTTAAGATACTACATATGTAAGTAGCGTTAAATGCTCACCAAAAATATATGACTAAATCATCACCAACCCATTTTTGCTTACTATTTTTTAATATGGGCTCAGGTATAACTAGACTTTTCAGAATGACAAAATGATGCCAACCAACTTTATGATCTTGGTAATCGCCAAGTTCTCATCAAGAAGACCACATGAAAGAACTGTGCAGGGTTAGAAGAACAAAGCAGACCAAAGGCGGAGAGAAACACGACATGAAGAGCAGCCATCCCTGAGCTGGGGTGAATGTGCTGTTTTTGGAGAGCTTCTTCCGATCTCTCTCCATCCTGCGTGAAGTCTGCTGTGGTTGACACTGCCCCCAGTTTCTCTCACTTCTTTCCAACCCAGAGCATCACCTGCATCTTAAGCTGGCTCCATGGTGGGTTTGTGAACTGAGGGAAATGGACATTTCAATGCTGTGGACTGACTGCTGGCACAGAAATACAGGGCAGAATCTCCAACTTCAGAAATGTTGATTTCCAGGCTGCACGGTGAATTTGAGGGACACTCAGCTGAGAACCGCTTCTTGACCATGTCTATCTGATCAATAGGCTGTTGACCCTGAAAGTAAATCAGGAACTTTAACTCTTTGTTCTGCCTCTGTTGGTACCAGTAAACAACAGTCTGCCCCTTTTCAGGGTTACACTTCATCGTTGCTCTCTGGCCTTCTGTTTTGATCAGATGGCTTGGCGTCTGAGTGACCGCAGCATCAACGAAGTCTAGAAGAAAATAAAATAGAAAACATGAACACAGGCCAGGAGCAACTCTGACAAGGAAGAAAGACTATCTGAGCCTGTTGCTTGTGAGCTATAAGCAAGACTTTATCTTATGAACTTAACCCTCACCTGCCTGAAGGAGGCAAAGTGCCACACAGCAGATGAGCCATGCACCCATTTCCACACTGGAGCAGCGAAGGATGTGCTTTCAAGCTTCACCACCAAACTTTCTGTGACATCATCTTTGGGAGGCTTAGCCCTTACATCTCTGAAGACTGCTCTATAAACAGGAAGCATAATTTGTTAAAGTTTCACTCATTTAAAAGAATTTTACATTGATATTGCTGTTATAACACTAAGTCTGTATTTTAAGACGTTATAAAATAATAAACATATCAAATTGAAAACATGTTAGATAATGCTTAAACACTTCACCCATTAGTAATACTTTTATAATATAATGGCATTTTAGTGTTCTCTATCTCTCTCACTCTCTCTTCTTTCTCTGTCAAAATCAGCTACATAGCCCATCAATCATCAGCCCGAGCTACCAATTCTATCTCTCCCCTTCTACTTTTCTGTTGAATTATTGATTTTATTTATTCTTAAATCACCACCTGAACCTTTATCGTAAAACTAACCTGATAAAGTCAAATATTGTGCAATCTGCTGAACCTGTTGCCATGCTAGACTGGCTACATCTGGTCACTGGGCTGGGCTACGAGCAGAAATGAGGACACGGGAGAAATACTATGCTCTGTTGCATGCGTGAAGAGCTGGAGAGTAACTTTAAAGGTGTATAATATAAGCCATGTGTGTAATAGTCCATGACTTAAACCTCACGTTTCTGACTATACAGTGCTCCTGGTACATTATGACAGTTTGTGACATGCTCAGTTCAGGGCTTTCAATACTAACAGTGAACTGGAGGAAAACTGGTTTATTTCCTGGAGTGCATGGATATGGAGGAGTACTGTAGACCTTTGAGAAGAAACAGGTAGATACCTGCATAGAAATATGGGGTGTCCCCTTAATTTTCAGCTTAGGGGGAGGGAAATCTCAGTGTCAGATTTGTACCATTAATAAAAGAACCATTATGTGGGGTTAAAATAGATGCACGTGTGTCTACAATGGGTTTTCTGTGACATGATCCCGGGGCAATCATGCCTGGATCTTCACAAATCCATGTTGTCTTGAGGTTTTTAAATCCAAGCTCACAAAGAACTATGCTAATGCTTAATTAGCCTGGTAGAATGAAAGCAATAGAACTTAATCATTTTTGGTGACTGACTTATTCACCCCATGGAGACTGGATTAATGACAAGGAAAGCAGACTGATGAAGGAAAGCAAGAGGCAGACAAAAGAAGAGAAAACAAGGTGTTTGCAGACTTCTTCTGCAGCCTTCCTGTGACGGGATCGCTTTGCAGATGCAATCGTTGTGTTACTGCTTCCTGTACCACCAAAGCAATTTATGGTAGCAAGAAAGGCTTTCCTTGTCTCAGTAAGTAAAACTTACCCATATTTTATTCACTTAAAACTATCTTTTATTTATTTTATCAATGTAACCTTCACATCTATATTTTAAGAATTCATAAATGAGTAGAATATCCAAGTTAATATATTATTTTTGTGCAATGCTAGTACCCCTAATTCATTAGTGAATCTCTCTCTTGGATTTTGTATCCAGAAATTATGAAATACATAATATAGTCTGCAACTGGCCTCACCCTTGAATTCCTCCTGCTTCTCACTTCTATCCCAGGCCTCGCTACAGCAATTCCGTCAGCACCTTTCTTCACTCCTTTCTTCCCCTCACCCTTTCCTGTTGAGGTGCTGACTTTATGTTCTGAAATCAACCTCTTACACTTTATGATGAAACTTACAATAAACTGAGAGAGAGAAAGAGACTGTGAAAGAGATTGTGAAATCTCTGCTTGAAACTTCTTGATTCGTCATCCTAGGCCAGTGGGAAACATTATAATGAGATATGAAGTTTGGGAGAAAGGCTTCGAACTTCTACATGAAGAATGTAGTGAGTCTCAAGGGTCCTCTCATATTCTGCAGATGTATAAAATATATACTCCATTTCTCAATAATCACATTACTGGATATATATTATTTTGAGATCTTTAACCCAGGCTCTGAAAGAGCCAGGTTGACCTTTGTCTGCATGGTAGCACGTTGAAAGTAAATTTGAGATCTTTGGTGACCATCTAATTTTCACCATGAGTACAACATGAAAAGAGATGGGTAGTCAATAGAAACAGAAATTGACAAAAGTCAAGAAAAGAGGAGAACACCATATGAAGACCATTCACCACAGTTCTGGCCCCATGATATTTCAGGACTATAAAGTTGTCACTCCTCAGCTAGACACCTTCTAGCCTCCTGTGGTTGACACTGGCTCCAGTTCATTTGTTACTTCCTTCCAACCCAGAACACCACCTGCTTCCTGAGTTGCCTCCATGGAGGGTTTGTGCACTAAGGAAAATGTACAATTCAGGGCTGTGGACAGACTGCTGGCACAGAGATACAATGCTGAGTCTCCTGCTTCAGAGGACTGGATTTCTAGACTGCAGGGTGAGTTTAAGGGACACTCAGCTAAGAATCGCTCCTTGACCAAGTCTGTTCTTTCACGAACTTCTTGGCGTTGAAAAGAAATCAGAAAATTTAACTCTTTGTTCTGCTTCTGTTGGTACCAGAAAACAAAAGTATGTCCATTTTCAGGTCTACAGCTCATCTTTGCTTTCTGTCCTTTCCCTTTGAGCAGATGTTGTGGAGTCTGGATAACTTGTCCATTCAAAGAGCCTAAAATATAAAAAAATGAAAACAAAACAGAAAGCATGAAAAAGCCCAAGTGACCCAGGAGGAATCTTAACAATGAACAAGGATTGGAGCTATTGTCAGGAATCCTAAAACCAGGAGTCACCTGCTCCCAGGAGACAGAGGGCTGCACAGTAGAGAAGCCTTGTGTTCATGGTTTCCTTGACTAGCAGAAGGAGGCACTAAACCTTGTCAGCAACCTTCCTGTGACATCATCGCTTTTCAGATTTCATAGCTGTCATTTACAGACACATGTTGCTGACACACTTCACAGCATAGAAGGAAAATTTTAACACAGTGAATAAATTTACATTTTTACTAGTATGAACACCACATACATATTTTAGACAACTAAAAATAAAATAAGTCACCTCCTCGGGGGAGGGGGGAGGCATGGAAGGGAGAACTGTGGTTGGAATATAAGATGAAACTTAAAAAAAATACCAGACACAGTGAACTAAAAGTACATAAAAGTAAAATAAAATAAAATAAAAGTTACAGCATAGGACTACTAGACAATGAGCAGATTGTCTGTGCACTAGTGATAATCTCTGATGTTCTCTGTCTAAGTCCACCTATTCATAAACATATATACATGTGTACAAGCATGCTTATCTTCACATGTACATATATGTACAGAGACACAGTACTTTTTACTAAATGGTCTTTAATTGCTCTCTCATAACCCCATTTTAGCTAATTATTATCCTTCCCTACCAATGTATTTTCATTTTATGTGTCATTTAATTTATGTTCAGCGTTTCTCAGTTGCCTCCTAAGTAATGTACGCTGGTTACTATCTCACAGATGAACATTGTTTCTGGCTATTTATCACTAATTAACTGTGTGTAATTGAACTGTATTATCACTGCTGTTTTATAATTTTGTTACTGACCACTGCTTTGAAAATATTTACTCCTGTGGTTATTTTCATTTGTCTTTTAGCTTGTTCATTTACTAGGGTTTGTTTCAGCTAACCTCACCTAAGTTTCCAATCACTGTTTATTTTAAGATGTATATTTTGGGTTTTTTGTCGTTCTTTTCTCCCTCCTTCCATCTTCATTCTAGGGGAATGAGTTAGTAGTCTGATGTATGTATTTTCATGGCTTTTTCCTTACTCATTCGATTGAAGGTTCCTCAACCTTCTAAATTGATACTGAATATATTGATCAAAGTTTGATAACTAACTAACAGGGTAAACACTCAAGTAGTTAATCTGTGTCAAGAAACAGTTACCTTGATTTCTAAAAGTTCTTGTTTCTTTTCCTGCATCCATGTTCTCTGTTTTCCAATAATATTGAAGTTTATGCTGAGAACCACCCTTTCTTGGTTTTGGTTTTATGAGACATTGTCAGGTAAGCTCAGACTGGCCTCAAGCTCAAACTCAATATGGAGCTGAGGATGACCTTGGTTCTCTTGACTCTTGACTTCATCTTCCAAGTACTGGTATAGCAGCATGCACTATGCCTGGCTATGTGCATGACATTTTTTATGTCTCTTCTCATTTTACTGCACAACATAGCAGGTTGTTGTTTGGTCTTACACATCTTTATACATTTTAAAAGATGGGAAAGTGTTATCCACATCCTGCAATGTAGTTTTCATTCAAATTTGTAAAATTCTATCATATTCACGTGCCAAGTTTTAGTTAATTTTCACTTTCATTTCATGTCTGTATGCAAATTACCATTATATATTTGCCCATTGTATATTCAATGTACATTTAGGGTTTTCATAATGCTTTGCTATCATAAGCAATATTAACTGAGTATTCTTGTGTTATTCTTACAAAAAAAGGAAATAATTTATCAGAAGTAGGATCAATGGATGGTGCATGTTCACATCTGTAACTTTACTAGAAAATATCAAATGGTTTCCAAAATGGATAACTGGTCTACCCACTTCCCATCTAATGATTCAAAATAGTATTCCATTGAAGTCTGGCCTCGAATGTATTTTATAGATCTATCTTTTTCTTAGCCATTCTTGTTTGTGTATATCTTATTAGATTCTTGATTTGTATTTCATCTGCATAACTGCAAAGTCTAATGGTGTTCCCACATTTATTCAAGTTCTCTTGTGAGATGCTCATTTGTGCATTTTGCCAGTTTTTCAAGTGTGTTGTATTTATTATTTTTTCACTTCTTTGACAATTTTATTCTTCTCCCTCCCTCCCTCCCTCCCTCCCTTACTCACTCACTCCTTCCCTCTTCTTAACCTCTACACTTTCTTTCTCTCCAAGATCCACTTTCCTCTGTTTGCCTTCAGAAGAGAGCAGACCTTTAAGTGATGTCTACTGAACAGTGATGTCTACATAACAAGATACAGTAAGACTGGGCAAATACCCCCATATC